TCTCTGTGTGTGTGTGTGTGTGTGTGTGTGTGTGTGTGTGTGTGTGTGTGTGTAGTTGTTGTATCGACTTGGAACCAGCCGAGAGCTAATGCTCCTGCACGTGGGAGATTGTTCATCCTTCTCTCTCACACACATACATACGTAGAGGGGATATAAGCAGGTCCTTCTGCATAACTTAGGTTGTTGATGAGTCTTCCTCCAATCCTGATGCCACATAAAACCCAGCCTCCCCAATGATCTGTTCTGCATATAGATTGAAAAGGTATGGAGATAGGATATATCACTGACATGTTCCTTTCCTAATTTTGAACTATTCAGTGTTTCCCTTCTCTGTTCTGAGGACTGCCTTCTGGTCCAAGTAGAGGTTTTGCATAAGCACAATCAAGTGTTCTTGATTCCTCACTCACCTCAAGGTTAACCACAATTTGTTGTGATCTACAAAATCAAAAGCCTTTGCATAGTCACCGAAACACGGATATACATTCCTCTGGTACTCTGCTTTCTGCCAAGATCCATCTGACATTGGCAATAATGTCTCTAATGCCATGACCTCTTGTTCTTTGTTAATGTACTGTTCCAGTCATTTTTGGATAATCTTCAGTAGAATTATACTTGTGAGTGATATTAGGGATATTTTTCAATAATTCCCACACTCTGCTTGATCACCCTGTTTTGGAATGGGAATAAATATGGATCTCTTCCAGTCAGTTATCCTGGTAGTTGTCCTCCAGATTGCTTGACACAACCTCGTAAGCACATCCAGGGCAGCATTTGTTTGTTGAAATATGCCAATTGGAAGTCCATCAATTCCTGGGGCTTTATTTTTTTGTCAAGTCTTTCAGAGCAGGCTGAACTTCCTCCTTCATCACCATTGCCTCTTGGGGAAAAAATAAAGAGGTAGATAGATGATAGATAGATAGATAGATAGATAGATAGATAGATAGATAGATAGAATATACACACGTACATACATAGAGGATATATATATACACACACACACATATATATATATATATACATATGGTCACATAATTAGTGTATGTATGGGTGTATTTAGGGAGCTCTGGTGGCTTGTTTTCTGTCATTGTGTTCAGTCTAGTTGGAAATGATCCACAGCTGACCCTCCAGCCATCTCTCTCTCTCTCTCTCTCTCTCTCTTTCTAAGGTTTGTACATTGTGCTACTATTGGGACAAAGTGCAATGTGTAAGTCTCTATCTCCATTGATACATGATCTTGTCCTAATTTCTCTTTTCTAGTTCAGTACATCAGGCATCCTCTCTGAGAATGATGGTGATCTGAAAGTGGATCCTGGTGAGTCTGAAAGCTGAGGGAGAAGGCTGCCCTTGCTCTCATTGTAAACGAGATCATATGTGCAATGTAGTTTACATGTGCAGCTTAATTCTCTCTATTCTTTGTCCAGCACCAGCCTGCAGCCATGGGGAGGGGCGGGGGGCGATGGGACAAGATCAGGAGGTATTGGACAAATGCTCTAATAACATCTAAAGCATGGCCTAGACACAGCAAGAAAAGAGGTGTCCCATGTGTTCCCAAGTTCTTGTGATTTCCACATGGACTGCATAGACTTGATCTTAGCTTTCAAAAAGTCAGTAAGGGAATTTTAAGTTTTGTGTAAGCACTCTGAAATGTGAAGCATTCTAGTTATTGATATTAATTAGAGTGAAAATGCCAGAAGTACCAGATTATTCCAAGGATGAGCCCATGGAGAAAAGTGCATTAAGTCAGGACAACAAGACTGAGCCCCATGTCTCTAACAGTATTGTCTCAGAGGGGACCAGTCTTGGGTCTGGTCTGGCAGGGAAGAGTGGGGAGAGAAGAGCCTGAAGCTGGCATTTGGCCATGGGTCTTTGGGCAGCAGAGTGCATTCAGAGAGCTTTATATATGGTAGGAATACTTTTTGTTTTTTCCCCAAGTGAGTGTGTCTGTCCTCTGGTACAAGGTTTTGGTTCAGTCCAGGGCACCAGGGAACTGGGGACAAACTAGAAACTATGTCAGATAGCCATCATGAGCATAAGCTGCATTCATGGACAGTTTGAGGTGTGGCCTGGGTTTGGAGGTGGGCTACTCAGCATACCAAGTGCGGAAAAGTAGTTGAGGACCTGGAGTCTGGGCTTCCTCTGCTGGACCCCAAGCATGCTATAAGTTTGCCTATGCCAAGTTATTGAACAAGTCCCTTGGTCTGTCCAAATGCATTTCAATGCTCAGCCCAAATAGTGAGCAGGCTGAGTGGTCTGGAGTAGAAGACTTGCCTGAGGGCTTTCCCTTGAGGAGAAGAAGCCTCAGAGTCCTCCAGGGAGGTCCTGTGATCTTAGGTGGGCCTGGCTCTAGAAAAGCCACATGCTAATGGGGCTGAGGAATCTGAGGGAACAAGCCCATAGCCTGCTCTGATAACACTTGGGGACAGAAGCCATGTCCTGGCAGAACCTGCCAACTCCAGGCTTCCCTGCTTAGTTTTCTGCAGTATGGGATGCAAAGTGGCTCGTTGTCCTCTGATTTTGAGGAGAGCTTGGCCAATTTAGGAACAAGATTCCTTAAGGGTACCCTAAAAGACCCATAGAGATAAAGAAACATTTACAGGCCTTCCTGTAAATCAAGACAGCAATGAGAAAGGAAAGTTTAAGTCTCAGACTGGTCAAACCCAGGGTTTTTAAAAGCATTGGCTTCTGTGTTGTTCTTTTCTAGCACCTGGAAGGGGGATTCTTGGCCTTTCCCCCCAACAGCACCTGATGCTTCCTTGCTGGTTGGGTTTTGTATCTTGGGCCCTGTGCACAGCAATGACCCTAGGCTGTGGTTTGGGAGTAGGAGTTCTTGGATACAGGTAAGCCACAACAATCCAAAAATACACTCAATTTATTTGATGTAAACTAGCATTCATAAGAAAATAACTGCAGTCTCAGGAACATGTGAAAAACAAGTACCAGCCTTTCAGCTTTTTCCCTCAGTAAAGCTGTTGTTGTAATGTGCTGTCGAGTCGCTTGCGACCCATAGTGACCATATGTACAACAGCTCTAAACTCTGCTCTGTCCTGTGTCAATCACACTGTCTCTGACACTCCCATCCCGATTTCCCCAGTCACTGAATCAATCCACCTCATAGAGGGCCTTCCTCTCCTGCATTGTCCCTCCACCCTCCCAAGCATGGTGTCCCTCTCCAAGGATTGGTTTCTCCTTACAACATGTCCAAAGTATGTTAGATGAAGCCTCAGAATCCTTGCCTCCAAGGAGCCTCCCAGTTTAACCCTTTCAAGGATGAATCTGTTTGTTTTCCTAGCAATCCATGGTACCCTCAATACTCTTTTCCAGCACCATAGCTCAAAGGCATCAATTCTCCTTCTATCCTCCTTAGTCATTGTCCAACTCTCTGATGCATAACAAGTGATAGCAAAGACTGTGGCCTGTATCAGACACACCTTAGTCTCCAGAGAGATACCATTGCTCTTCAGTACATTGGAGAAGTCCCTAACAGCAGACTTTGCCATGGGAATACGTCTTTTAATTTCCTAGCTACTGGTGCCAAGAGTGTTAACTCAGTTAAGTAAGTAGAAAAAAAAAATCACTGAGTAAAGAAAACCTTATGCAGGGTTGAAGTGGTGGTAGCTTGGTCTGGCCAAAACTGTGACTGTATTCCAGTCTTTAATGAATGCCCAGTTGTGAGAAGATGCTTTAGGGGGAAGGATGTTGGCAGCTAAGAAGCTATGGAGAAGTCCAGACACTGAGCACGCTGCTTCTCCAGCACAGAAGGTGCCATCTATCTTTTCATATCACTGGGCAAAGTCTCACCTGACAGGCAGGCGCCAAGATTTTTGCTTCCTAAATGAAACTTGATTCGTTCACACATGTGGACATTTGGGTTGGATACCAGGACAGACTAATCTGCCTTACATGCCCTCAGATCTGATTCAGCAAAGCCCTGTAGGACCAATCCTTCATAAAACTTGAAGAGCAACCACAAAACCAAAGCCTACATTTAATGTTCTTTTCTTTCTCCCCCTTGTAAGTATTGAATCACTCTGTGATTCTGCACAAGCTACTTTAAACCCTCTCTGCACTTCAATTTGATCATGTGTAAAATGTTCTTCGATGTCCTTGTGTTGATTTCAGTTCATGGTGACTGCTTGTGACATAGTAGCATTTCCCCACAGAGTTTTCTGGACCACAATCTTAATATAAGTAGATCACTAAATCTTCCTGCTGGGGCACCACTGGATAGATTAGCAGCTTAGCTAGTCACTGTGTTACTAGGGCTCTTCATCTATGAAACTGATGCTTTGTGGCAGAAGGAGTTATATGTTGGGCTGCTAACCAAAAGTTTGGCAATTTGAATTCACCAACATTACTAGGAAAAAAAGATGGACAATCTCCTCCTGTTAACATTTCTGACTTTGAAAACTCTATGGTAAGTTGTTATGGCAGAATCAGCTCAATGGCACTTTATTGTAGGTTTGTTTATTTTTTTTCCTCTTTCTGTTTTGTTTTGGTAGTGTTTTGAAATGAATGTGATGGTCCTGAGAACTTGAGAGGAGAGTGATATTTAGCTTATATGATGTTATGAAGAGTAAAGGAAATACTAAGTGGAAGACATACTGAATGTTTTTAGTATTTGAAGGGTTTAAATGTTTTCAATATTCAGTACAGTGTCAGACACCTACTAAGTCCTCCTCCATAGTCATTAACTTTATTACTACTTTATATTTAACTACTCTCTTCCCTCCCTGTTCTGATTTATATGCCTCTTTCTGTGTCTGGGTATTAACTTTCGTTTCTCTTTCTACTTGAGCACCTTCATGGTTAGACCCTTTCTTTGGGCAGGAAGAGTGACCTTTTTCAAGTGGACATAAAGATGCTACACCCTGTCCATTAACCCCATCTTCTTGGTCACACTTCTGCGATGACAGCTGGAGATCTCTCCTGTCTCTGTGCTTAAACACCACACCCTCACTAGCTGTTGTGGGCACTAACCACAGGTTTCCTCTTTGGTGCAGGTTTGACCTGATGCGGTGTATGCAGTGGCTGCAACTGCTCTGCCTCTCTGTAGTGGGCTGTGCTTTTGTTACCCAGCCACTGATGGTAAGGACCATCTTTCATGATAACTAGAGCAGCTGCTCTAAACAAAAGGAATATGAAAGTGAGCGAGAGGCACTAAAGTGGGACTGCCATTGACTATAGCTTGATATTAGAAGTGATGGAGTAAAGCTGAGAGAGGTAGACCCTGTCTGAAGCACCACATTGCATATTATTTAATCACCATAAATATCACATTTGACATTTGGAGAAAGACAATGTTAGAAAATACCAAATATTCAGTGGTGATAAATCCAAAGGCAGCTGATGATAAGTGTGTGTTTAGAACCAGCAAGACTCATTTGTGACTGTGTAATAGAAGGACAGCTCTGGAGGTGGAAATGCTCCCTCAGCACTGCTGGTCACCCACAGATGTCCCTTCCCCCCCACAGATATTTTTGATGGCTTTGAGTTTTGCTTTGAAGAGAAAAGACGACAAAGGCTTTTTCACTGACTCTTTGCATAATGCCACGAAGCATTTGGAATCTGAATTGGAGCGACTTCCCCAGCATCTTGTTCCCCTTTCTTCAAGCTGTGACATTCCTACCTGTACCTGTGAATTTGAAAAAGTAAGGAAACAATCCACCTTTGATTTAACTTTAGGGAACTACTTTATATTCTCATCACATAATTTTCATTCTTCACGTCCAAGTTTAACTGTGTTTCATAGGAACCATGGGATATATTTTAATTCCTTAGGCTTCTTGCCTCATATACATATGACAAATACTGAAGATGCATTTCTTTGCCTTTGCCCTAATTCCAAAGAAACCAAAGAAATTAGCATTTTTTAAAAAATATTAAAGCAAAAGATAACTGTAATTCTTGGCCCTGACCTTGGAGAACCTTGAGACTATTTATATATGAACAGAAACACAGAAAATTTTTCTTTCTCCTCTCTTTCTATTTTCCCTTTTTGTTTATATAACTTTCTCCTGAGGCATCAATAGCATGAAGAAAATAAAAGTTTACAGGTCTCACAAAGAATTCCACAAGCTTCCTGTTAATGTAATGTTAATGACCATGAAATTCAGGATGTTGTTTTATACTCATCTACAATAATTACAAGTCAGTTATCCCTAAAGACATAATCCTGGTGCATTTCCAGGCTGACCTGCATTTCTGTCCTCATTTTCCCTGCTTTATTTTAGAGGAGATTAATAAGCCCCTAGTGGCCATATGGTGTGGTCAAATGGCCTATCTATGTATGGCCTTGGCCCTCTTTTAGTCACCTGAAACTCCTGGCAATGTTGTTGATGATGATGATAAAAATAGATATTGACTATAAACTATGCACTAGCCATTGTACTAAACACTTTATTTACATTTATTATGTCAAGAAATACCTTATGAAGTTGGTAGATCCTTGTTTTAAAAATGAATAAAACAGAGACATAAACAAAGTTACTTCACAGTAACCTCACAAAGACTGCACATGCAATAAGTGACAAATTTAAAATCCAAACCTTGTCAATGTCCTCCCTTTCTTCTCCATTTCCCCCTCCATCACATTGGTGTGTGCTGTAAAATTGGAAACTTCCCATAGCTCCAGCTTAAACTCCAGCAAATTTTAGGGGGCAGTTAATCACACAGGAGGAGATTGTCCATCCTTCCCTGACAGAACAGCTTGTAGTTCAAACTATATGCCTTTATCAACATTTTTTACACATATAATCAACAGTCTTGGCACTAGCAGCTAGGAAATGAAAAGACATACTGTGTTGGGAAAGTCTGCTGTCAGAGACCTCTCCAAAGTACTGAAGAATCTGGAGAATAAGGTATGCCTGATACAGGCCATGGCCTTTGCAATCACTTGCTATTATTGTCAGACACCTGGACAATGACTAGGAAGGATAGGAGGAGAATTGATGCCATTGAGCTATGGTGTTGGAGCAGAGTATTGAACATACATAGACTGCTAAGAGAACAAACAGGTTCATCCTGTTGTTGTTGTTATGTGTTGTCGAGTCACTTGCAACACATAGCAACCCTATGTATAACAGCCCTAAACTCTGCTCTGCCCTGTGTCAATCACACTATCTCTGACACACCCATCCCAATTACCCCAGTCACAGAATCAATCCACCTCATAGAGGGCCTTCCTCTCCTTCACTGTGCCTCTACCCTCCCAAGCATGATGTCCTTCTCCAAGGACCGGTCTCTCCTTATAACATGTCCAAAGTATGTTAGATGAAGCCTCAGAATCCTTGCCTCCAAGGAGCCTCCCGATTTAACCCTTTCCAGGATGAATCTGTTTGTTTTCCTAGCAGTCCATGGTACCCTTAACACTCTTCTCCAGCACCACAGTTCAAAGGCATCAGTTCTCCTTCTATCCTCCCTAGTCATTGCCAACTCTCTGATACGTAACAAGTGATTACAAAGACCATGGCCTGTATCAGACACACTTTAGTCTCCAGAGAAACACCATTGCTCTTCAGTACTTTGGAGAGGTCTCTAACAGCAGACTTTCCCATCACAATATGTCTTAATTTTCTGGCTACTGGTGCCAAGACTGTTGACTGTGGAGCTAAGCAAACTAAAGCTGTGAACAATATCAATTTCTTCACCATCCATCCTGATGTTGCCAATTGGTCCAGTGGTGAGAATTTTTGTCTTCTTGACATTGAGCCTCAACCTATATTGAAGGCTGCAGTTCTTGACCCTCTGCAGCAAGCGCTTTAAGTCCTCCTAGAGAGTTAAATCAGGAGAGGACGACCCTTGATGAGATGGATTGATTGATTCAGTGACTGGGGTAATAGTGGTAGATGTGACAGAGACAATAAGATTGGCACAGGAAAGAGCAGGGCTTAGGGCTGTTGTGTATGGGGTTGCTATGTTGCAGGCAACTCAACAGCACATAACAACAACAATATAGCAACATCTTCTTGTACAACTCTCTCCACCATCCATTTTCTGTCACACCAGTTTTGAAACGTAATATTGTTCAGATTTTCCTTATATATCTTGGAAGTGGCATCCACTTCCTAAACCACATGCCTCTGGAAACTCTATGAACTTTGATAAATGACAATAGTTATAGAAAGGCTTCAGGTCTTTTGTTCATAGGGTTGCTATAAATTGTGCTTGACTCAACAGCAATCAACAACTTCAACAACAGCATCTTAAGGTGTCAACTTTTCTTTCTTTTTCAAAAGTTTTCCTTCCTTCCTTCCTTCCTTCCTTCCTTCCTTCCTTCCTTCCCTTTTCCTTCTCTGTTTATTGTGTGTACCTGCATTCTGACCTCAGAGATGAGAGTCCTTTCCATGGTCAGTCACAATCTCAGAGTGCTCTTCTTGAGATTACGTTGCATCCCTGTAATGTTATCCCAAATGAGTGTCCATTACCACCTTATACAAGTGCACCCTCACACACATGCCTCTCCAAAGAACAGAGTTCTTTTGCAGGAAAGGCACTGTACTGCTTTCTCAGGAGCAATGGTGGGTAAACTGCTGCTAGTCTTATCCAAGCTGCAAGACCCAGAAAACATCAAAAGCAGATGCAAAGAGTATAGAGTCACTGTAACAAAAAGAATTGCTTCACACAGAACCTTTTCAGGAAGTAGCATATGATTAAGAAACAGTGATAATGAAGGAGGAAGTTCAAATTGCCATAAAGGAATTAGCAAAAAATAAGGCCCTAGGAATTGATGATGTTTCAAAACACAGATGCAGCCCTGCATGTGCTCACCAGGTTGTGCCAAGAAATCTGGACCTGGCCAAATGATTGGAAGAGTCCTTATTTATTTCAATTCCAAAAAAAAGTGATCTTACAGAATGTGCAAATGATCAAACAATATAATATCACTGATATCACATGCAAGCAAAACATTGCTGAAGATTATTAAAAAATAACTGGAACAATAAATATATTGACAGAGAACTGCCAGAAATACAAGCTGAATTTAGAAGAGATCTTGGCACTAGGGTTATATACCATTCCTGATGTTGAATGGATCATGACTGAAATTAGAGAGTATCAAAAGGGTATCTCTTAGTGTTTTATTGACTATGAAAAGGCATTTGACAGTGTAGATAATAACAAATTGTGGCTAACATCGAGGCAGAATGGGAATCCCAGAATACCTGATTGTGCTCATGAGAAATCTGTACCTAGTCCAAGAATTAAGTTATTGTCTAAATACACCAAGGAAACACTGCATGGTTCCAAATTAAGAAAGAAATGCATCAAGGATGTATCCTTTCTCCTTATGTTTTCAATCTATGTGCAGAACAGATCATTCAGGAGGCTGGACTTTATAAAGAAGAATGTGGCATCAGGATTGGTATCAACAACTTGCATTATGCTGTTGATACAACCTTGCTAGCCAAACTGAAGAGGATTTGAAGCATTTGCTACAGAAGATCAAAAACTGGAGCCTTCAATATGGATGGCATCTCAATATCAAGAAAGCAAGGATTCTCACCACCAGGCCAATGGGTTGATTGAGGTTGATGCTTTCTCTTGCTCAGATCCACAATCAACACTCTTGGCACTAGCAGTCAGGAAAACAAAAGATGAGTTGCATTGGAAAAATCTGCTGTCAAGTATCTCTCCAAAGTGCTAAAGAGCAATGATGTCACTTTGGATATAAAGGGGCTATGATCTATTATTTTGGATAATAATCCAGGCTATGATCATCTCAATTGCTCAGCAGGCATTTGAAAGGTGGATAATTACTAAGAATTACAGAATAAGAATTGATGCCTTTGAGTTGTGATGCTGGAGAGGAGTGCTAAATATATTATGGATTGCCAAAAGAACATATAGGTCTATCCCTGGAGAGAGTGAACCTGGTTTGCTCATTTGGAGGCTAGGATTTTGAAGCTCTGTCTCACATACTTTGGACATGTCACCAGGAGAGACCAGTCCTTGGAGAAACACTTCATGCTTGGAAGGGTAGAGGATCAGCACAGAAGAGGAAGACCTTGGATGATATCGATTAACACAGTAACTGTAGCAATGGGGTCAGGTGTGTCAGAGATGGCTAGGTTTGTTGAGGATAGGAAAAGGTTCAAAGATGTTGTTCATAGGGTCACTATGGGTCATGGTCAACTTGATGGCTCATAACAACAACAACAACAACAAGTGTCAAAGTCATTTTAAAAAAATAGTTCAGGTGAAATCCCTGAGCAATAAAAATAAACTAGCCTGAAACAGGAGACATTTAAAGTGGGTTACTCACCCAACACTCAACAGCCTGGAATATGTCATTGGAATGATATAATGCTTGGGTCATTAAATGCCAGGCAGAATGCACAGCTTAGGAGTACCAGCTGTCTTTGCCTATCATCACAGCCCAAGGCTGATGGTACTCTTGTCTTTATGTTTGTTTGTTTATTTTTTTAAAAAAATTATTCATTATTCGTCATAACAAGATAAAGGTAAATAATCCAATTGAAAAATGGGCACAGGATATGAACAGACACTTCACCAAATAAGACATTCAGATGGCCAACAAACACATGAAGAAATGTTCAAAATCCCTAGCTCTAAGAGAGATGCAAATCAAAACAACTATGAGATATCATCTCACCCCAGTCAGAATAGCAAAATTTAACAGAACAGCAAGCAACAAATGCTGGCGAGGTTTTGGAGAAACTGGTACCCTTATTCACTGTTGGTGGGAGTATAAAATGGTGCAACCACTGTGGAAGGCACCTTCTCAAAAAGTTGCAAATAGAGATACCATTTGACCCAAGAATTCCACTACTAGGAATATACCTCAAAGAGACCATAACTGACATCCAAGCAGATATATGCACACCCATGTTTATTGTGGCTTTGTTCACAATAGCAAGGAGTTGGAAACAACCTAAGTGTTCAACAACAAATGAATGGATAGAGAACCTGTGATATATTCACACAATGGAATACTATACTACATTGGAAAACAAGGAACTCATGCAATATTATTCAAAATGGGTGACCTTGGAGGACATTATGCTGAGTGAAGTATCTCAGTCACAAAAGGACAAATACTGCATGGTGCCACTATTGTAAAATAGGACTGACATCAGGATTGAGGGGAGACTGAGAAAAATGGGTTCAATAATTTTCACTGCATTGAAATAGATAAAGGAGAAAACTGTTTAAAAGGGATATGTGATTAGGTATTTTTGTCATGACAGTAGTGCAGAGCGAAGGTGGCATAGCGGAGTGGACCTGGGGGGGGTGGGGTGGTGGTTTGTAAAACAATGAAAGAATTTTTCTTTTACTTTTCCAAGAGGGTAGTGAACAAGAGGGAGAGTTGGGCAGGGAGAAAATTGCAACAATGAATGAATAGAAACCCAAAGTCTCTGTAAATTTTCATTGAAATTAATAATAGATTTTTTAAAAGGGGGGAAAAGGTTAAAAAAGTATTCATTATTGTACATTTTCTCCCCTTCCCCTAGCCATTCCCCCCACAATGTCCTCCTTGTTTCAGAATGTCTTCATATATATAATGCATAATTATAAATTCCTTTCAAACCATTCTTTTTCTCATCTATTCCAATGCAGTGTTCATTATCTGTTCACCCCTTCCTCATTCCCTTTCCAATCCCTCCATGTCTGCCCTATTTTAGAACAGTGGTGCTATGCAATATTTATCCTTTTGTGACTGAGATATTTCACTTAGTATAATGTCCTCAAGGCTTCCTCATGTTGTGTAATGTTTTACTATTTCATTGTTTTTCAGTGCTGCATAGTATTCCATTCATTTATTTTGGGGCACTTGGGTTGCTTTCCAAAATAATGAAACAATAAACAAGGATTTGCATACATCTGTTTGAGTTGTGACTTTAATTTCTTTAGGGTATATTTCTAGTAGTGGAACTTTCTAAGAAAGCACCAGACTGCCTTCCATAGTGGTTATACCAATTTACATTCCCACCAACAGTGAATAAGAGTTCCAATCTCTCCACAATCTCATCAGCATTTGTTGTTTACTGACCTGTTGAACTTTGATACTGTTGGTAGAGTAAGATGATATCTCATGGTTGTTTTATTTGCATATCTCTGATAACTGGGAATTTTGAACATTTCTTCATGTGTTTATTTGCTGTAATAGATACTGGCCACTCGTGAGCAAGCACGTCGTCTGCGCTGGGCTCATCCACCAACCAGGACCCAACTGAAAGTTTCCAAGGAGAGGATGAGGAAGGAGATTCGTATGCAAGCAGATCTGAGGTAGATGAGGTGTCTTTACTGAGGTCTCACCCCTCATAATGAGGAAAATCCTCCAGCCATGGAAGGACTTCATCCATTCTTGAAGATTGCTCACAGCTGGAGTAAATGGTGGAAGGGGGAAGCTTTGATGGTCTCAGTGCTATCCTTGTAGACATCATACACCATAATTCAAGTATATAGCATACAGAGAAACATAACTGAAGTCAGAAAACATGTTGGTAAAATTTGCCAGTGATTAGAAATTGATCAAGAGATAACTATGTTCCTAACTTCCTTAGTCATTTATGTATTCGCACATACAGTGGGATGTAATCCTTACGTAGGTCTGCACTCTTGAATACATGCATGCTTAGAACATGGGAAACCATGTTATCTCTCCAGCTTTTATAAAAGTATTAACAAATTTATTCTAAAACTTGAGTAGAAGTAATTAATTACAATAGAGAAAATGATTATGAAAAAGAAAAATAAATACAGAGAATTCACACTATTTTCTTTCAATATTTACTACAAACCTTCTTTTTCCATGCTACTCAGGAAAGACTCTATACAGTGTTGTCCTGGTTTCTGTTGTAACTTAAAGGAGAAGCTTCCACAATGTCCAGAGCCCTTGATGATCTGAAGATGAAGGAGGAGGATGTTCTCCAATTCCTTGAAGCAGGAATACACTTTGGTGTCACCAACTTTGACTTCCAAATGGAACAGTACATCCACAAAAGGAAAAGTGATGCCATCCACCTCATAAACCTGAAGAGGACCTGAGAGATGCTTCTGTTGGCTACTCAGACCATATTTGCAATTGAAAAAAAAAGTGGATACATAATGAACACTGCATTGAACCAGGAGTGGAAGAACTGTCTGAAAGGAATTCATGGTTAAGCATTACAAGTATGACAACAATCTGAAATAAGAGGTGCATTGCCAAGTGAACTAGGGAAGGAAGAAGGAAGAGGAAAAGTTGAAAATATGCAACAATGAGTGAATTAAAACCCAGCCTTCTCATAAACCTTCATTAAAATCACAACAAAAATATTATAAACAAACAAAAAAATCAGCTGCTATCAATCATTGTCATGTACTGTCATGAGCTGAGCTGAAGTTTGCTGCTGATACTGGAGACACTCCTGTTGCTGGGTGCTTCACTCTGGAAACATCACTAACCAGGTCCAGGCAACCTTGTTTTCTAATGGTTATTGATTCCAGGGCCAACCAGAGGCATCTTAACTTAACTTGCTCATCACTGCCCTGAGTAGAACAGATTTTCCTCTCCACTATGTGAACATTGCTGTTTTATGCAAGAAGGTAGTTCATTCCATGGGTCTGATGTGGTGGATGCTATCCTGGGAAGTCCTGTGCATGAGTGTCACAATCTTGGGAAGCACCTCTGGGTGGTCATGTCCAATCTGTACTTCTGCAGAAATCTGGAAGAGTTTGAAAAGAAAGAACAATCTGCTGCTGAAAAAGTTGTGACCAAGGAGAAGTTTCAGGCAGAATGGATAACTCCTGCCCCAGAATTTCCTGCTGCTCAGCCCGAGTACATATAGGTACCCTCTCTGCCTATTCCTCAGTTTTCTATTGAAGACTGCAGTGCTAAGCTGGCAACAGAAGATTGGTCTGCAGCCTCCACTGCTCAGGCCACTGAGTGAGTCAGAATACTACCAAGTGGTCTTAAAACTGTCTTTTCAGCCTTTTAAAAAGAGGAAATAAAGTTGATGGAAAATAAACAACGTATTTCTTTTTTAAAAAAAGCCAGCAACAATAAACAACAACAATTGCTATAAACCTATAGCAATCAAGACAGCAGGATGTCAACAAAAGAAGAGAACAGAATAATGAGCTTAGAGGTGGACCCACACAAACGTGAGCATGCTGCTCACACTAGGAAAACTGGCTGTTGATATGCAACAAATAATACTCAACACATCACTCACACCTCATATAAAAATTGCCTCACAGGAATGTCTTTCTTCTCAAGAATATAAAAGCCCATTTCCATTTAAAATGTTTTATTGAGTAAATGAAGTGTGTGTATGTGGACATGGTGTCTGTGAGGATGCTGACTTTTAAATATCTTTCTTGCAGAGACTTTCTCATGTATATCCTTATGGTGCTTCTGCTTATGTTTATAACATATGGGAAATTCTCTTGGGATGAATCTGCTCTCAATAAGGCTATTCGGAGTAAATTTACAAGGTAGGTAGTCTTGGAGGCATTCTCCAGCGGTAGAGTCCCACACTGATATGACCTGCTCAGGACCAGGGAAACTCAGGGAGAAGCCCAGTGTCCAGGGCTCCAGAAAAGTGTTTCCATGCTCAAGATGAGAATTTCTTTGTCTTTACTACTTTGAATAAATATCTTTGTCTTCTAAGTTTGAAAGAGTCAGTGATGAGAGGTTCCTTAGGCCATGTAATCCACTCCCTCTGTTCAATTTGCCTCTGCAAAATTGTAATCTAATGGTTTTTCACCAAATTAAAGATTGAGTCTACAGCCATACCACCCTGAACGCGCCCGATAAAAAAGAAAAAAAAATGATTGAGTTACGGCCATCTTCTCCTCTGATATGAAACATGGGAAAGTTATCACATTAACTAACAAACACTATTCTTCCTAGTGTTCATTGATACTAGACAAAAGGCACAGTTACTTTCTTTTTTTTTTTTCTTTTGGCTGAAGATTTTTTTTTATTAACTTAGTTTATTTTTCATTTCAATGAACATCTACAGAGATTTTGGAATTCCATTCATTCATTGTTGCACCCTTCTCCCCGCCCCCCCTCCACCCCATTTGCTCCTATCCTTGAAAAGCAAACAGTTACTTTCTTATTGGAAAACAGTAGAAGAATATATCACAGCTCTTTAAGGTCTGGGAGTCTCAGTGCAGTTCCAAAATGTAGTAGTAGTAGTTGTTGTTGTTGTTGTGGGTCATTGAGTCAAATAAAACTCATGAACAACAAATTTGAACCATACCCTATACTGTGCCATCGTCATCATCTCTGACATACTTGAGCCCATTGCTGCAGTCACTGTATCAATCCATCTGGTTGAGGGTCTTCCACTCTTTCACTTATCTTTCCCAGTATGATATCCCTTTGCAAGAAAATATTGCCTCCTAACAACATGCCCAAAGTATGTGAGACAAAGCTTCACCATCCTTGCTTCTAAGGAGCATTCTGACTGTACCTTTTCCAAGATATATCTATTTGGGTTTGTTTTTTTTTTACAGTCCATGGGATATTGGAAATAGAGCAACTTCTTTTTTTTTGAAGATGTTTTAAGTTCTTCAATGACATTCATTTAATGACTTATTGACTCTTTTTAATATTCATTGTAGGTGAATATAGATGTGATTCTTAATAAATTTATTGGTGTTTATTTATAGATAGAAAGAACTGAAAAATCTGAAGTTTGAAAATTTCCTTAGTATTAGGTTCTAGGAACAACTACTGGAAATGTTTTATTGTGCTATATGTCTATAAGTCTAAAAAGTGTAGTCTACATTTTGCAACATTTCTGAACTTATATGTAATATAAAACTTTTTAACTGAAAAGTTGTTAGTAAATAAATTTTTAAACATTATTTTTACCTGCCCAAAATATTCAGTCTAATTGGTCTTTCAAAATATTATGGCTCTGAAATCTAAAATATTGATATGAATTCACTGTCAATAGCATATCAATAGACTTTCATAGATCCAGTGAAATAAAATATTTCAATCCTTCCCAGTATTTTATTGTCTTTGTTTTGCTATTAGTTGCAAAGAAATTCCTGCAACTTTTCCATAATGTTTTGCCTTTTAATAAGTGACTTGATTTGATACAAATTATGTTTTATTGGATTTCTGAGTAGAGCAAATCACAGGAAAATCCAGTTAATTGTTCTAACATTCCAGGGTGTATTATTTCATGTTTTGCAAAAGAGAGAATGATTTATATTCAACCAGTTACTAGCTAACTAATTTGACAAAAAATTGTGGCTGACCTTGGGGAGAATGGGAATCCCAGAACACTTGATTGTGCTCATGCAAAACCTATACTCAGACCAGGAAGCAGTCCTCAGAACAGAGTATGGTTCAAAATCAGGAAAGGAGTGTGTCAGGGATGTGTCCTGTCATCATACCTTTTCAATCTATATGCAGAATAGATTGTTTGGGAGGTTAGGCTTTATGAGAAGGAATATAGCATCAGGATTGGAGGAAGACTCAATAACATTATGCAGATGACACAACTTTGCTTGCTGGAATTGAGGAGGACCTGAAGTGCTTGCTAAAGGTCAAGGATTGTAGTCTTCAATATAGATTGAAGCTCAACAACAAGTAGACAAAGATTCTCACCACTGGGCCAATTGGCAGCACCATGATAGATGGAGAAGAGATTGAGGTTGTTAACAATTACAGCTTGCTCAATTCCACAATCAACACTCTTGGCACCAGCAGTCAGGAAATCAAAAGACAAATTGCACTGGGAAAATCTACTGTCAGGTTCCTCCCCAGAGTACTGAGAAGCAATGATGTCAGTCTAGAAACTAAGGCATGCCTGATCCATACCATGGTCTTCACAATTACTTGCAATTCATCAGAGATCTAGACAATGACTAAGGGTGACAGAAGAACTTTGAGTTGTGGTGGTGAAGAGTTTTGAACATATCATGAACCATCAAGAAAACAATCAAGTCTGTCTTGGAGAGAGTGAAACCAAGTTTCTCGTTGGAGGCGGGGGGGGAGAGAGAGAGAGAGAGAGAAAGAGAGAGATTTATATACATAGATCTATAGAAAGATATAGAGATAATGTTTATTTACAAAATTCGAACACATTGTTTTTCAGACCAGATTCTTCCAATTTCCCTCACCCACCAACCCATCAAATTGTACAACCCATAATAAAGTCCACCCTATCCCATGTCCCACACATCCTCATCACATCCTCATTGGAGGCTAGGATTTTGAAGCTCGACCTCACATACTTTGGGCACATGTCCAGGTGGGATCAGTTCTTGAAGAAAGACATCATGCTAGGGGGATAGCACATGAGAGAAAGATCCCAGATAAGATGTACTTATATAATAACTGAGGTAAAGTGGGTAAGTGTGTTGGAGCTTGTGAGACTGACTTAGGATAGGGCTGGCTTCAGAGCTGTAGTACATAAGGTCACTAGAGTAGCAGGTGACTCTAGGTTACATAACAACAACAGCATCATTGAGTATACCCACGTTATTACCCACCAATAAAAGTAATCCTGGTTTAAAGAAGTCTGAGCTTTTTATAAATTAGTAATCCAATATTCTACTGACAAACATCCTAGTAAAATTATGTGATTCTTTTCTGCCTCTCCATTTACAGACACAGTTCTTTTCATAGGGAGCTCTGGTGGCCTAGTGCTAAGAAGATGCACTACAATTTTGAATAGTTCAAATCCACCCATAGCTCCATGAGAGGATATACACTCTTTTCTCATGGGACTGATTACCTCTGAGATGGCACAGGAAAATTTCGCTCTCTCATTTGTGCAGATAAGTGGCTTCTGCCAGTAAATGGTGATGTGTACTAAACAAAGATGAGTTTGGTAGATTCTCTGAAATTGGAAATAAATTTTCTGAGCTTTAGTAGCTTATATGTTATTTCACATTTCACAAATCAGCAAGTATTAGACGTATTTCTCATGTTGTTGCACCTTGATATTGTCAGATGTATTTCAACTGAGAGTATTTTGTGAGATGTCTTGTGTGTCTAATTCATGACTCAGAGGGTGACTTGTCATCAGATTGTGGTGACCCCATTTTTCCCACAAAGAGGCAGGTGTCTGGTTTGGTAGGGCTATTTCCATATCATGGTTTGTAATGGAATGTTTAATCTGACTTCTTTTCTCCTTAGTGTATAATCCTGAAGCATCGGTCACTTCTAGGGTTTCAAATTTGTTAGCACCTACATGGAAGAACAGAAGCCTAACAGGGAAGAACTAGACAAAGTAGAACTCAAGACTTAGGGTTCCAGGCTTCATTTGGTGACCAGCGGTGGTAGTCAACACTTTGTTCTCGACCTTTGTGTCTACATGTGTAGAGTAAGGCAGCTTGATTTCTAATGCCTTAACAACAATGACAAAAATCTGTCATTTAATTGAATTTTTCTTATTTTTATTTTAAGTGGTGATGGAATATAAATAAAAGAAAATAATAGAGATAAGTAACCAGTCAATGAAGGAGGTACTCGCTCTACGTATCATGAATGCATAATAACTGCTTATTTTATCTACTGTATTGTTCAGGTACTGTGTAGAACTCTTATTTTATTACTTAATTAGTACAGACAGGACTTAAATATTCCTACATGGCTCAGCTCACTGCCTGGCCTCCAGTCTTGTAAACAATGAGGTATACAATGTGCACAGATGACGTCAGAACCATTGTTTCTGGGTCACACTCAAGTCTTGACTTTGTTTCGTCTCAGTTTGGCAGTAAGTATCAGGAAGTAGTGGTTTATCTGAGAGTTACAAAAACACAATATTGGCTTTAAAGACCCATGACCCATGATACTATTAATAATTTTACAAATACAAAATATGAGTCATATTAGTATACAAATGGGATCCAACAGTTACTTTCCAGAGCAGATGCTTAAAGTTTTTCTCTTCTGCAAATGGACCATGTTTTTCTGCCTCCTTTCTCTTTCTTCCCCTTCCTCCTTTCCTTGGCCCTGCTCTTTGCTTTCTTCTAATAGTACCTCTGTGTTTGCCAATTCTTTCTTGCTGCCTGGGGCTATCCAGGGCTGGCAGAGACAGTTCTACTTACTTTGCACTTCCCCTCCGTCTTCAGGGATATCCCCTCTCAACTGCTCCCACCCACCTCCACCTTGGCAGGGCTGCAGGTTGCATTGATTAAAGTTTTGTTATTGTTAACTGCTGTTGAATTGTACCCCCCCACCCCATCCCCCCAACACACTCATGGTGATCCTGTACCCAATACAGCAAAAATTGTCCATTCCTGTGTTATCCTTGTGAGTGGTATGGGTCAGACCATTGTGATCCAGTTCATGGACTGATTTTTTGGAAGCAGATCACCAGGATTTTCCTGTTAGTCTGTCTTAGTCTAGAAGTTTCACTGAAAACCTGTTCAGAAATCAGAGCAATATGCAGAACTCAAATTACAGGGTATTGTTGGCACAAGAGGCATTGTCCTGGAATTGAGCCTGAGTGGATTTGAACTGCCTGCCTTTATGTTGGTAGCACAATTCTCCACCCAGTTGGCCAACGAAGTTCAATTTTATTTTTTCAGAGTCCCTGAGAAAGGTTTAATTTAATGTAAATTAGAAAACAAAAATGTCAGGTAAAACATTTCTATTCTCATTGTTAAGTTTTCTTGTTGATGCAGAAACTGTTCTTGTTCTTGCATTGAACAGCACTGAAAAGTCCTCTGGCGGCCTGAACAGCATTGACTGCTGGTGGGAATGGAGCCTGACCAGGCTCCTGGATGGTCTGTATGGGGCTAGCATGCATAGAGCCCAGGTGGGTCTTCCACTTTGCTCTCCCAACACTAACACTCAGAATAATCAGGTGATATGGCATGAAAACAGTCCAAAAAGAAGTTGCTTCTTCACCTGTACAAACCTGTGAAACTTCTCTACTACACTCGGTCCATCAGGTTAGCATACTACAGCCTAGAAGATGCTGTGATATGGACTTCGAAGAGCTCCCAGGTTAAATCAGAAATAATGTTCTGACCTCCAGTTTAGCTGGCCATCACCTGGCACACACAGCCATTTGTAATACTGATTGATAATGCTATTTTTGCAGAATCTGCAGTCATTTCAATTTTTTTCTTCTTTCAGTCTGGAGCTCTTGGAGGAAAATACCATCTAATTGGTACATTAGTAATTAAACAGCTAAATATATCTTCAAATAATTTATGCAAGGTAAAATTATTTTTCTATCCTGAAAATAATTGAAGTTGGACTGTCAGATATTTAGCACCTCCGGTGACCCAATGGTTAGGGAGTTGTGCTGTTAACCCAGGGGCAGGAAGTTCAAATCCTCAAGTTGCTTTAAGGGAGAAAAATGGATAGTTTCCTACCTTTTAATTAACAGCCTATGAAAACTCACTGGAGGGTCAGCTATGAGTCAGTTTTGGTTTATTTATTTGTTTTTTTTAAAATACAAGTTACTTACAAAATTCTAATACATTGATTTCGAGAACAGATTCTTACAATTTCCCTCACACTCCCCACTATGAGTCAGTCTTGACTCTACTGCAATAAGTTTGAGTTTTAAAGAGATATTTAAGAAACTTTCATGCTGTGATGGTTAATCATATAGTTACTAAAAAAAAAGATTGGAGTTCAAGCTACTAGTCACAGGAGAAAGTAGCAGTCTACTGCAGCTCATCACAGCCATGGAAACCCTGTGGGTAGGTAGCTCCATGTAGATAGGTAGTTCTGGAGACTTGATGGGAATCAACAGCTTGGGATAATAACAGGAGACATTTGGGCAGGAAGCTGGTGGGTCCCTGTAATCTTCTCTGGGATAGATTCTCTGCAATAGGTGGGTGATCTGCCTGGTCTGAGGAATAGGAACCTTGGTCTTCCTTCCTAGGCTTTCCAAATATCTTTCTGCCTTTGCATTCTCCTGCAAGCCTGCTCAGTCAGTGACCTGTGGTGTAGAGGCCTGGCATTCCATGTGAAATCCCAGACAATGTAAAGTAGAATCTTTTGCTGACTGCTGTCTCCCTCATGTACTTGACCTTGATCATCACCCCTAGGATATAGCATTCCAATTGTCCAGGAATTCAAGCATCCTGGGTTCTAGGTACTCAGAAGACCCAGGGATCACCAGGCATGTCACATTTCAGAATCTGAGCTATGCCTCTCTGTGTCTAGGGTTCACAGACTTGCTGACTGGAATCTGCAATAGTTACCTATTTTGTCACTGTTGGTTTCTTTTACAGTTTCCCAGCTCCTTTACCAAAGACTCTCCTCCTGCCTGTACCCCTGAAGTGAGATGGCCTGTTAATTTCTGCATGATGGACCCAGAGAGACACAAGGTGTCCCCAAGCTATCACAAGGGCTCTGGGGGGAAAGAGGACTGTGTGTTCCGCCTGGGCAGGACAAGGTCAGTGTGTCCAGAGGACTGGTGACCATCAGTGCATGTGCTGGACATGACCATTTGCAGCCAGAAAAAGCTTCACAAAGGGTTCAGGGGCAGGCTTGTCAGTGCACAGTGATGGGGCAGCCCCCTGAGGGAAGAAGACGAAAGATTTTATCATTTCTAGATTAAAGAAAAGCAGCTTGTCCACAATCAGAGATAGTGTGCAACAGAATTAGATCTCAAATCTGCCTCCACCTTGACTGCATGGGAAAGAGCCTCCTTCCAATAAGTTGAGCTTATTCCTAGGATGTCTGAAGTCATGGAGCCTACTGGATGTTGGTTGCATGGACACCATACACCATAGTTCTCATACAACTCTGTAAAATACGGATGGCTCTGCTTTTGCATGACATTGCCCAGAGTAAGAGCTCAAGGCTTAAAGACAGGGCTGCTTCCAGGCTGGGTCAGGAATTGAGGCAGGTCATGTCTTGTATTCTGCTCCCTGGTGGCTCAGAAACTGGACACCTTCCAGGCTGAGTAGGGAATTGAGTCAGGTCTTGCCTTGTGACCTTCACCCTGGTGGCTCAGAGACTGGGCCCCTTCGGGCTGGGTCAGGAAGGCTCACAATGGCAGTGTGCTCCTTCACTTGTTGCCAAGCTCATTGGTGGCTCAGAGACTGGGCCCCTTCAGGCTGGGTCAGGAAGGTTCACAGTGACAGTGTGCTCCTTCACTTGTTGCCAAGCTCATACTAACATTGAATGGTGACACTGAGCAGTGGTTATCTACTATGCATTTGAGTATTATGAAAAAGGAAAGGAAACTGTCTGTTAGGCATCAAATGGTACAAATAATTTCTTTAAATGATTGAGTCCATTTGAGAAAAAGATTATGAACTCCTTGGTGCTAGAGCACTGAGACATCCGGCCCACAAACACTGGACTATGGGGAACTGGTGCCCTTCTCTTTGCCCCTGTCCAAGTATCCACCCTGGCTACTGGCAGCAAGAGGTCAGGGCAAAGAAAGAGGGACAAAGGGCAATTGAGTGGGCTCCCCAGATGCAAAAATGCTCATCGGTGCAGCTGTTTGAAGTGCAGGGGTTGTTTTCTTTGAGAAAGTTTGCTTCGGGCATTCCTGTGTGGAGTCTGCTTGGTTAAAATTCTGTGGATTTCACAGCCTCCTTGCTTGGTGTTGTTTTGCAGACCTGAAGCCTACACAGCCCTGAACAAACTCAGGACCATCCAATGGATCAACCAAGGCACCAGGGCTGTGTCTGTACACTTTACCCTCTACAACCCTCCAACTCGGCTCCTCACCAGCGTGTCTCTGAGGGCAGAAGTGCACCCCATGAACCCCATGCACCCCATAGGGCATCTCCATCTCTCCTCTCAGGTGGAATCCATTAGTATCTTCCACAATGACTCGTCCCTGAGCTGCCCCCTCATGGTTTCTGAGGTGAGTTTGTGTCAACTCCCCTACCTTATCACAGAGCCCAAGGAGAAGTACTACAAACTCAGGCTGGTCCACTCAACTGGGAATCCTCTTGTCCACAAACTGTGAGTCATTCCCAGTATACCACAGGCATTGGGGCATAAAGCCAGTTTCCCTGACAGGGAAGTCAATCACCATATACATGGGATGTACAGGTATAGATCTGCCGAAGCGTACACACATCATCACAGGAACCTTGGGGCTGGGCTAACAGCACAGCTCCCTATAGGCATGACACTAGACCTTCCTTAAGAGGTTCCAAAATTTAAGGAGCTTCAAAAGTTCTGTCTTCAAGATAAGTAATAATACATTCTCTAAAAAAATGAATTTGTATAAAAATTCCAAAATAAACAAAATAGCACAGTTTAAATCAACATTATTATTTTTCAGTTTTGCCTGTGGCTTCATTACCATCTACACATCTTTGCATTAATCACCAAAAATGTACTCTCCTTAATTTATTTGCAACTTTTTATATGGGAGCCATAAGGGACAATTCATATAACCTCAGAAGTAAAGCTTTCTGCTAATGTGGTTCAGTACAACAAAAGACCTTACCATTGGGCCAACGGGCAACATCACAATAAATGGAAAGATTGAAATTGTCAATGTTTTTATCTTGTTTGGATCTACAATCAACATCTTTTTTATCAGCAATCATGAGTTCTGGAGACATATTGCATGGAAAAGTCTGCAGTCAGGAACTTCTCCAAAGTCCAAAAGAGCAATGATTTTTATCCTAAAGACTAAGATGCCCCTTATTCAAGTCATAGTATATGCAGTCACCTGCTAGGCATCTGAAAGGCAGAGGATTAATAAGAATGGCAGGAGAAGAATTGTTGCCTTTGATTTGTAGTGTTTGAGAAGGTACAGAATATCCCAAGGACTACCAAAAGAACAAACAGTTTGTTTCTTGGAGAAAGTAAAACCAGAGTGCTTCTCTAAAGACAAGAATGATAAAGCTTCATTTTACATACTTTGGGCACATTTGTAGGAAAGTCTATTCCTTGGAAAGGGACATTGCAAAAAGAGCAGATGCAACGTGAGAGTGGCAGAGTCTGAGTTAAAAGATGGACACTCTCTCCCATAATCCAAAAAGAGCAGATGCAACGTGAGAGTGCCTGAGTCTGACTGCTGCCTGCTTCATTAAGGGAAACTTTCCCTGTCAATAGTATCCACAGAAGCAAACAGAGAGCTACTAGATCAGACACACCACACCACATGCTCCTTCCCCATTTCTACTAATTGTATAAGTTCAGTATTCATTGTTTACTCACAGTGTTACTCACAATTGTGGTACTAAGTGGGGTTTGTTAGGGAAATCGTTTGGGGAGTGAAAGAAGCAAAGAATATCTCATAATACAAGTCCAGGTTTAATCCGGCAATTTCAAGCCAAATTAACAGTAAAATACAATTCCTTAATTAGTAAAAGTCCTAGTTTCAGTTCAGCAACCAAATCCAAATCATCCAGCAAGGTTTGCCTCAGAACAGTTATAAGTCAGCTTCTCCTTCAATCATCCAGCAAGAACAAAAGAATTTTTAATTATTCCCTTTATCTCAGGGGCCACAGTCTCTCCACCACTATCAACAGTGTGTCACCACCAGGGTCTCAGTCTCACTAGGATCTTGCTCTCACCAAGTTCTCACTCTGGTCTTGGTCTTACCAGAGCCTTACTCCAATCTCCCTCAAATATTGCTGCCTAGTGTAGGAAGTACTCTATCTCATCCTGTTCCCACAGCTGTTGATGATTTGCAGAACCATGTATATACCATTAAGTAGCTGGAGACCAGAGGGGGCTAATGTACTGGCTAGAAAAGCTAAGTTTTAAGCTAATACTGAAGACATCTTGCTTAAAATAGAGGAAGGTTAGCAAGATAGGAAGACATTCTACTAAATTGATTGACATAGTGACTGTTACAATGGGCTCAAGTAAATTAGAAATTGTGAGGATGGCACAGGATAGGACAGAATTTAGATCTGTTGTTCATAGGATCACTATGAGTCATATTTGACTCAATGGCACATAACTGCAACAACAATAATGTCGTTCAATCTCTAATATATTTGGGCTATAGAACATGAAAAAGTCATGAAATTCTTTAATATGGAGAACATATATAGATGTGAGAAGTTCAAATGCTCAAAGAGGAGTGTGAAAGTAAATCTAAAGAGTGTTTTCTAGTTTACAAAGTACTTTCCATTATGCCATTTCCTTTCATTTGTGAAGTATTCATTAATCCTGTTTCAGTTATGGCAAACTAAAGCTCAGAAACAATATCTGAGCTAGATGGGTAAGTAGATATAGTTTTTGGGTATCATTGAATTGATTCTAGCTCATATATAATGGACCTTATAAATAATGGAATGTAATGTTGTGTAGTAGTGCACCATCATTACTGCCATTGCTTTGACTGAACTCATATTTGTAGCCACTCTGTCAATCTATCTGATTGAGGGTTTTCCTCAAGTAATCTGATCACTACAGTTTGTGAAAAGCTTGGTGAATTACTTTTAAAATCAGCTAGTGAAAATTATGGATCACAGTGGTGCAATCTGCAATCAGTCACGGATATGATGAAGGAAGGGATGGCGTTACATTTCTATTGTTTATGGGCTGCCATTCTTGTTAGATACCATTGAGTCAACTGCAACTCAAAGTGACCATATGAACAACAGAGTGAAACCTGGCCCTTTTCTGTGTCATCCTTATTGTCTTTGTCGTGCTCAAGCTGTTGCTGTAGTCACTGTGCCAATCTATCTAATTGAGGATATTCCTCTCTTTTGATGATCCTCTACCTCTCCCAGCATGGTATCTTTTCCCAAGAACTTCTTCCTCCTGACAGCATTGCCTAAGTATGTGAAATTTATTTAAGTAAGTGTCACTTTACTGTCCTGTCCTGGGCTGTCATTAGTCCAGGGCAAACTTCACAATATCTAACAATACACACATAGTCCCTGAGTGGTATAAACAGTTTTCTCTCAACTGTTAGCCTAATAGTTGATGGTTCAAATCCACTCAGAAACTCTACACAATAAAAGCCTAATATCTGTTTCCATATAAAGATTACAGTACAAGAAAATGCCATGAAGGAGTTCTGTTATAATACATGGGCTCTTTATAAGTGAGAATTGAATCCACTGGAATGGATTTAAGTGTTGGTTTTCTCTCTCTCTCTCTCTCTCTCTCTCTCTCTCTCTCTCTCTCTCTCACACACACACACACACACACACACACACAGAGTTACAGGCTATTCAGTCAGAACTGACTCATAGCTGACCCTCCAGTGGGTTTTCAGAGGCTATAGATTGCACTGGATGAGATTGGCCATTTTCCTCCAAGAGCAGTTGGTGGATTTGAACCACCTGCCTTTGGGATGGCAGTGAAACTCCTTACTCATTAGTTCACCAGGGCTTATATCTTTTGAATAATGAAGAGGAAAAACTGGAAGAGTCTGTAATGGAGGTCAGAAGATCGGACAGTAAGGACAATATCCATGCATAGTCTAAGAGTTTCAACGAGGCCAGTGACTTCCATGAGTTCGTTTGTACCCCCAGCACCTGGCACCAAGTAGGACTGGAGTATTTATGCATAAAGAGGTGTCATGCTGCTCCTCGTACTATAACAGTAGCAAGTTTATTATAAAAGCTGAGGAGCAAAAAATTCACATCTGTAATAATGACTCAAAACATGAGTGGTAAGGCCCTGGCCTTAAGAGATAAGACCTTATCAAAATATGTTAGTGTTTTTATTTCTTTTCTCTCTATCAGCTCATCTTTCTTGTGCTCAACTTAATTCATCTCTGTTTTCAACTCTACAATATGAATGACAAAGGCATCCTAAACTACTGGCGAAAACCGAGCAACTGGCTAAAGGTAGTCTGTCACTTCCTTTACAGAAAATACTAAAATTAAAATATATTTATCTGAAAAAAGAATTATAAGAAATTGATTATGCACTAGTTAATTCCAACATTATTACAGCTCTCTCCCTGTTGTGTTAATACTAAAATAAAATTTGGGATAAAATGTATATTTAGCAATTTTACAGCTAATTATATTACAGGTCTCACAGGATGCCAAATTCAGGCTTGCCTTTGGGAGTATCTCTGATTAGACTTTCTTTGCTCAACATTTCAGCTTTCTGTGATTGGATTGGGTCTTGCCTACTATGCAGCTTCAAGCCATCTTGTGATTCTTTCTAGAGACATTCTTGACAAATTTCATAAGGAATTCTTTGAAGAATATGTGGACTTCAGTCTTATCTCATCATGGAATCAGGTATGTCAGCATTTAGGTGCAATAAGAATAAAAGTTTACGGCATTGAAATCTATGGGGGAGAGAATAGTCTAAAAGTATTATATTTTAGGGCATTATTTTTATCGTAGAAGTATGCAATGAGGGTTGTAGAGTGGATTATATTTGGGGCTAGGGTGTGGGGTTTGGGGAGGTGGGGGG